ATTGTAGCAAAGAACAGTCCAAGTTCGTAGAAGTAGAAAAAAAAGAATGAATAAAAAGTTAAGCTTAATCCTCACTTAACTCACAATGTGCTGAGTCAGCACTACTGAAAACCAAATGATAGTGCACATTACTTCAACATTTTATTTTTTGCTACTGAACCACTGCGCTGTGCACATGTTGCCATCCCCAAGAAAAGCCACATCAAAAAAGCAGCAGCTTCTTTGGCGCCTGCTACCAGCAGGCTCCACACTCTCTGCAGGACATGACCCCAGTTAGTGCTGCCGGGGCTCCCTTCCCACATGAGCTTGGGAATGGCAGCATTTGGGTGCTCAGAGCTCACCCTCCTGTGGGGGAGATTAAGCCTTGAAACCTTGAGGGTTGTACGCCTTTAAAGGTAATGTACAGCTGCTATTTTACAGCCTTGCCCTGGGGCACTTTTTCTGTGACAGAGATAGCAGGAAAGCTTTTCCAAAAGTGGGAGAGAAAAGAGAACAGGCAGGGTTTTAGTCTGAGCAGCAGCTTGCAGTTGGGAGCACTTTTGGTTTCTCCCCTGGCAAGATGCCATCATACAACAACCCACTGTAATTGCACTGCAAGCACAAAGCAAACCTCACAAAGACTTTCAGTGCTGCCACAGAAGCAGCTGGCTGCTCAAACCTTGCAGGGCACCTTTAGGAGGCTGCCACCTACAGAAATCACCTAGCTGCTTATCCTGAGATACCCCTTGTTCCCGGTAGACCCTTCTTGCACATTTCTACCTGAAACAGTAGCCTGTTGTTTTTAAAGACCTGAGGAGCACTGATACCAGCACTTCCCAAGCAAGCCTATCTGGCCACGATGCTACCTTGCAGCATTCACTGGAGATTCCCTAGTCTAAGTTTATCAGAACTCGTGACTCTACCTACAGCTGATGACGCTCACCAAGGCAATGTGCTCATATCTGCATTTTTCAAGTCCTTAAGCAGAAGTGCTCCTCACCGAGGCACTGCAGGGGGGGAACATCAGCGCCTCTCGGAGGCTGCCCAGTACCTCCTTCTCCTCTCACAGCTGTTTCCTACCTGCACAAGCAGGGGAAAAATGAGATGTTTGATATATGCTTTCCATATAAAATAATAATGTGCATTAATGTTTACACACGACTTTTACAGAAAAGTTCAAGAAGTCGTTTATTATTTTGATGCTAAACTACACTCCTCTTCTATGCAAGCAGCTTGTTACTAAGCATTTCAAATTTTGGAGCTGGAGTTCTGCATCTGTTTCACTCAGCATGAAATTCACTTACAAACGTTACCGAGCATTTTGTTGAAGTACAAGCATAAGGCTTTGATCAGGTAAGGTGCTTAAGCAATAAGTTTAAGGACACGAGTAATCCCAGCAAAGTCCCAAGGAACTCTCCACGTGCTTAAACCCATGGCTGCTTCACTAGATCAAAACTTGAAATAATCAGACTACAGTTTGCAAGCTAAGCCCTTCTGCATGGACAAATAAGGCAGCTCAAAATTAGGGAAAAAAAAAAGTTAAAATAAAATAGAAGGATGGAAAAAAAAAATACTCCTGCTAGCAATCTACTGGGAAACATGGTTTTGTTTTTAACAAAAAAGCACCAGAAAAACAAAGCTGATGCAAATTCTAGTTTAACAGTACTGCTCCTGATAATGCAGCAATTTGCTATTCTGAGGAGGGAGAAGTAAGAAGAACAGAGAGCAGCGTTGCTTCCTTCCCACATCCTTTGCAAAAAAATGATAAAGAACGTCCCACACATCTTCATATCAGCATCTGGCTAACAGATTTAGCCATGTGCCTGCATCACTGCTAAATTTCTCAATAATCAGAGAAAATACCTGTGCGTTTGCTGCACTGGAGGAATTGCAGTGCTTCAGCACACATCTGTCAATAAGACAAGGTAATGAAAGAGGCAGTGTTTGCATACAAAGTCTCCAAAAATCTACCCGCCAAAGTAAATAAGCCAGCAGTTAGTATTTATCCTTCACGAGGAAGATGCAACAGTGTAAAAACAAGTGGAACAGGTGTAAAACAAATAGGCTTCTGGAATAACACCAAACCTAAGCAAGTTGGCTGTACCAAGATTTGGGAGTTACACTGGTACCTGCATATGAGGGACCCATTCACAGCCCTGCGATACAGCTCAGTAGAGAGGAGAGCAGTCCCCCTAGTGTACTCTTCCTGCAGAAAAGGCTGTGTTTCTCAAGAGAGTGCTGCGAGAAATTACAAAACAGCATTATTGGAAATGATACGGGAACACTTCAACACGCTGCAGTGAAACCAGGCACCTCTGCTATGCACACAGCGCTGCTTTGCTTTTCTGCTTCAGGATTATTGAGGAAAGCAAGCTGAAACATTGTTTTTCCAAGTATTTAGCACGCAGCAAGTCAGCACAGAAGTTTTGCAATTGCAGGCTGCGGATAGGGTAACAGATGCCTGAATTCAGGAGCACAGACAGACGAGCCATCGAGGAACTGCGTGGAGGCGCGTGCAATACTCATCCTACGCCGCACAGCCAGCTGACACCTTTCCCTCAGCTCCAGCGATAAGAAATTTAAACGCTGACTTCCCACAGCGATCCCAGGCAGTCAGCAGATACGGGAGCATGCACCTAACCCCTCCCTGGCCATCCGCCGGGCCGACAGCAGTGTGGGGCAACGACTGCAGGCTGGCATCCTGCTGGCACTGGAGCGGGCTGGAGCTGCATGCACGGGGCGAGCCTTATCGGAGTTAGCGGAAGCATAATATATGCCTTCTTAACCACATCTGAAACATTCACTTCTGCTTTAATGCCCCAGGCAAAAATAATAATAATAATGTCTAGTCGAACGATAGTCGCAACTTTAATTTATAGCTCTTAAAATAATTGTTTTGAGGAGTGTAATCCCAGCTATGCGTACGGATTATGGTCTTCACCACATCTCACTGGGAACAGCACTAGAATTTCATGTGTAATAATACCTAGGATAACAAAACAAAGTATCCTCTTCTCTTTGTTTAAAATGACACTTTCCCCTCTCAAAGCTGGAGAAGAATACTGTTAAGTGTGCTTGCAGCCTTCCAAGATAAACCCGGTTGTGTGAAATTAGGATAAAATCCTTCTGATGTAGAGTAATTTTCTGTTCACTTAAAATCTCAGGTTAAAACCTGGGAAAAAAAAAGTCTGGTGTGAGATGCTGACATTAGCTCCCGAAGAGTTGTGTTCATTACCTGAGAGGGAAACAGAGATGATAATAACGTATAATGTGTTTGAGCATTGGGAGGCTAAGATGGAGTCTCTATTTAAGAGCAGTGTCTCTGCACAAACTCATTTACTTTCCAGGCAGCTGAAATATCCCTCTTCCCAACACACATGCAGGGACTGAAGTGGCTCCTGCCCTGCTCAGCAGCCCATGGTCAGCTGCTGGCCTCCCTTCACCCCACATCTCACTGTTTAAGCGTGGCCCAGCTCCACAGACGGCCCCTGAAGGGGGAGGGATGTCCTGCACCGACGTGCTTCTGTGCTGATAAAGGTCACCCTAAAGGCTGCAGAGGGACTTCTGAGCTAAATCATATGCAATAAATCCCAAGGGATCCAAGTTTTTAACACTGTAATTAGCTCCAAGTACCAGCTAATGCTGCTCAGGAAAGGAATCAATATCAAATTAACAGGATAAGTTGTCAGAAAAAATTGTGACTGTATTAAGCACGTTGATCAATGCAAACACTTGGCGCTATGGCCCAGGTCCTGCTGCTGAGGCAACGGGAGTTCTGCCACCGCATTCAGCCCAAGCAGTACAGCCCTGCTGCCCGTCCTTCGGAGCAGCGACACAGAGTTCACTGAAAATTCAACACAGCTGATAAAGGAGCAGCATTTGCCACAGCAGCTGGCAGCGAGAGCCTCGGCTCAGTGTGCAATACCAACCGGGGAAGGCCACGCTGGCACCGTGAGATTTAACCCTTTGCCACACTCCATGCTCACCGTCACACAACACCCAGTGCCTAGCTCAGCCCCAACACTGCAGAATCCGTGGGTTTCAGAGCCATGCATTAGCTATGCCTCGATAAACTTTGTGCTCCTGTTTTTCTGACCTGAGGTATGGCATCTCAATGCTTCCCCCACAGCACTCTGCTTGGAGCCTAGCTGCAAGTCAGTCCTACTCCAGAACTATGGGGTGAGGCAGAGCCACCAACAATGCAGCCACAGTTGCTTCAACCTGCAGTATTCCTGACTGGTTCATGCAGAAGTTACCCCTGATCCAAGGCAGATAGATTCAAAGTAGAAACCAAACCTCCATGCAGCACAAGGAGACTTCCTGCACACTCACCCTCAATACTCCCATCCCTCAGCAGCAGCTGTGATCCCCTGTACACCCCAGCAACATTCTGGAGCACCCCCATATCTGTATGGCTGCACATCAGCCCCATGCGGCCGACAGATGGCCATGGGAAACAGGCCCAAACTAGTGGGTCAGGGAGTACCCACCCCACACCCCGCTCAGAGCAGGTAGGCTTTACTAGGCTCTGTGGGAGCAGGGCCCCATTCTGCCATACTGGGTTGGTCAGCAGCACGGCAGTGACCTCAGTGCAGCCTGCCACGCTGCGGGCTGGTATCACCCCAATGGACGGAGACGTGTGGGGAGCATACAGGCTGGCAGCACCAAGCCATCACTCCCACAGTCCTGTCAGCTCCATAGAAAGCCCGAGCCTTGGGCTTCCCTCCACCACCTTCAGAAACGGGAGAGCACCAGAGCTTTTTCAGAGGAAGACGCAAGCCGATCTGCATGCGAGCTTCAGGCTGGCACTGCACGAGAGCAACTCCGCTTATTTCTATCGCGAGTCACAAGGTCCCTACAACTCGTAAAAAACGGAAATGAAAAGCCTTTAAGAACACCATCTTCTGCCTTTTCCTTCCCTGCTTATCCCACTGCACCAGACGGCAGCCGAGCGACGAAAGTTCCCTCCTTTCCCACCCTCTTCCCCTACACTGCGGTCAGACGGCACCCCGTCCCCTCACCTTCCATCCTGCCGAGCTGTTGTTGTCGCCCTTGTCCTTGAAGTAGGGCACGCAGCGCACCATCCAGTCGTAGATCTGCGAGAGGGTGAGCCGCTTCTCGGGGGAGCTCTCGATGGCGCGGGTGATGAGGTCGGCGTACGAGAGGTTGCCCCACGCGTTGCGCCGCGACGAGCACTTCCTCGGCGCCGCCGCTGCGGGGCCGCCGCCGCTCAGCCCCCCGCCGCCCGCCGCCGCCGCTCCTCCCGGCGCCGGCCCGGGCCCCTCCGGGCCGCCGCCGGGCAGCGGGGCAGGCGGCCGCGCCGCCTCCTCGGGGCCGCCGGCGGCCGCCGCTTCGCCGCCCGCGGGGGCCGTGCCGCCGACGGCCATGGCCGCGCCGCCCCCCTCCTCGTCGTCGTCCTCCTCCTCGGGGATCATGGAGGCGGCGTCGGCGGGCGGCTCGCCGGCGGGCTTGGCGGGGCTGGCCTGCAGCTCGGGCCTCTGCAGCGGCCAGGTGCAAGAGCGGGGGCGGCTCTGCGGTTCGAACTCGGGGTCCAGCTCCACGTCCAGGGGCGAGAGCGGCCCGGGGGGCGACGCCTCTGCCATCTTGGCCTCCCTCGGGGGCGGCTGCGGCGGCGGCGGCGGGGCGCTGCGACGGGGCGGGCGGCTGCCGGCCCCGCTCCTCCTCCGCCGCCGCCTGCTCGGTGCCGCCGGGAGCCTAGCGGGCGGGCATGCCGCTCCCCGCGGGCACGGAGCGAAGGGGCAGAGCCGGCAAAAATAACAAACGGAGAGCGAAAAACGCGATTAAATCGGGCGGAGCGCCGGAGCGCGGTACCGGGGTGCGCTCGGCGGTGCGAGTGTGCGTTTGTTTATGTTTCTTCACTCCATGCGGGCGCTCCGGCTGTGTCCGCGCCGTAGCCGGCCGTGGGGGCCGGAGAGTACCTTCCCTTCCTCGGGGGGTCCTGCGCTCGTCCCTAGGCGGCACCGAGGATCCCTCCTTCTTCGGGACGCCCCGAGGGGAGCGCGGATCCCTGCGCGCTGCTCGCCGTCACTTCGCGGTGCCCCCGAGCCCCGCGGCACCTCCTCGCCAGAAGAAAAAAAAAAAATGTAATAATAGTGATAAAAATCCTTTTTCTCGCAGGGAAAAAACGAGCACGAGAGGGACGGATCGGCGCTCCTCCAACAGGTCCGGGAGCTCTAAGCCCTCCCTCGGGCTGCCGAAGCGAACGGGTTTTGTTCCAGCAGCACCGCCGCGCTCGTAACCTCCGCGCTCATAACCTCCGTGCTCCTGCCGCTGCCATCTTGACAGTTCCCTCCGCTCGAGTCACCGAAAAACTGCGGGCGGGGGGCGGTGGGGACAGAGCCGACGGCCGCCCCCACGCCAACGGAAAGCCAGAGCCCAGCGCCCGGCAGCAGCGGCGGCGCTGGCGTTGGTGGTGCTACTGCTGCTGCTGCGCGGCTCCGCTCCGCCCGCTCTGCGCCTGAGGCTCGGCGGAGCCTTCCCTTTAAAGGCGACGCGGGGGGAGGCGGCGAGCCGAGCGGCCCGGCTGCCGCAGCCCGCCCCAGCTGCCCGTGGCCCTGCCGGCCGCCAGCTCGCACATCACTCCTCCTCCTCGCCACAACACAAAGTTATAGCCGCGCGCAGAGAGCCGCAACCTAACCCGCCGCGCCGCGCAGCCCGCCCACGGGCGGGGCCGAGCAGGGCCTCCCACACAGGGCGGGGAGAGGGGAGCGGAGCGCGGCCGGGCCCCAGCGCCCCTCCGCCGCGCGTCTCGGCTGCCGGGGACGGCGGGGACAGCGGCGCGGAGCTGCTGCCTGTTCCCCCGTGCGTTTAAGCAACGTGAGTGATTTCACTACTCCATACATTGAGTTTTTGTCACGTTCGCCCGACTTGCTGCCTAATCCCATCTCAGATAGCTTTGGTTGTCACAGTGGAGCAATAGTGCACCTCCTAACTGGGCTGTAAATGTGCGGACGAGTTATTCTTGCAGGTATTACCGCTGGAGTCCAGTTTACCTGGCCTGTTTTTGGCGCTGCGTTCAGCCAGCAGGGTGGAGAGCGCTCAGCCAGTGCCCACGTGAAGGCCATCACCCCACTGTGTTCTCCGCCCCTGGCAGAAGGGCCTCTGAAGCTTGAGGATGTCGCTAATGACAGGTTGGGTAAAGGGGTGACCCACAAACCAGGAACACAGCGCTCTCAACACGAATGTCATTGCAAAGCACAGTGTGTGCCTACCAGCTCTTGTCCAGCTTGATGTCAACCTCAGCCACGGACCAGATTTAGTACAAAACGTGTTGACTCAGGTTAAAGCTTCTGAAGCGTCTCTACATAGAATTATTATCTAGATGAAAGTCACGACCGAAGACCACGCAAGGCTGTGAGTGATGAGGCTTCCTCAAACACCACGAGGAGCCCAAGCAGGCCAGCTGCTGGCTGTCACCAGCACCAAGGCCTTCCCCAAACCTGTCCATGCTTGGGGGCAGCATTTCCTCAGGTCTCAAGGTTCCACATCGCACAGTTCCATACCATGCTTTGACCTTAGGCTGGGTTACAAGCCGAAGATCTAGTCCTAAATGATATTATCATCTTCATTTATTTATTTAATTGGCATCGCATTGCTGCACAGGCAGTGCCATTACGTCTCATTGTGCTAGGTGAAGGCCCTGCACGTGGTCAGAAATGCTCTACTCCCTGCCAGAATTGCAGCCTAAGTAAGACAGGCCAGGGCGGGAGAAAGGAAATAAGTAAGTAGTAACACTATTAAGGAGATGATGGACTGAGGCACCAAGCAATTACATGACTCTGCTGAGGTCATACAGGAAGCCCATGTCAGAACTGAGAAATAAAACCAGATCTTCTGGGTGCCAGCCCCGGCCCTTTGCTGCAAGATTCTCTTTCCTCTTCAAAATGCACTGGTGCCTCAGCCAGACAGCCTTTTACTGCATAAGTTACAGTATCTGTTCTCCACGCTTCCACACAGTGAAATAGAACGAGGAACCCGTTATCATCACTGTTCTGTGGCTAGGAACACTGCAAGAGGTATAAAAAGTGATCCAAATTGAATCTAAAGCCTGCACTATTTCCAGCCTCTTCCTTTAAGTACCTTAATGCCCCGAGGGTGGGATTTTCAAAAAGCTCGGTTTATGGGAGTTTTATCGCTGACTTCAACAGGAATAAAGTTAGGCCAGCCCTGAGGCCATCTGACAGTCTCACTCACTTACTGTGCCTACTTAGGCTGAGAGTACTGTGTCTTCCTCTGCAACACATTTCAAAACCTTGAGTAAGGACAGTAGATAAACACGTATCTTGCATGGTGGATGAGGCAGCCACCTTCTTACTGAGAGGGCTGCATGCCATTTGCTTCCTTGGACAGAAGATGGGTTTGGTGTCTTCTACACAGCCATCTCCCTTCCATGAACCACAGAAGGACTTGCTGACGAAGTGGTATGGCTGGGTTAATTTTTCCTCCACAAAGTGCAGGACTGCTCCAGAGAGGACACTGTCACAGGTGAAACTGAAGTCAGGTGTTCTTCAGGGTTCATAAAAGGGTGGGAAAAAAGTAGAGGAAATAAGGGGAACGGTGAAGATGAAAGAAAGAAAAACTCAAATATTTTATGAATATTAAGTGCTTGTACTCCAAGGGATGATCTGATTCAGAGGATCTACATAAAAATGTATGTGTGGGCAAACTATTTTACACATTTTTAAATTATGTATTCCTGAATTCCTCTAGAAGCTGTTCTTCTCCGTGCCATAGGCAGTACCTGATATGGATCCAGTGGGGTCATGATTCCTTTGCAGCTGAGTCATTTCTGTGGGTTATCTCGGTCACACACATTCACCACCCATGAGATGCGGGGCCTATGGCGTACTGCCTAGGGGAAGGTAGCAGTCATATGACAGAGCTCTGGAGGGGAATCCTTACAAGTGATTATTTTGTTGAGATTAACTCTTTTAAGCTCTTACATTCTGCTACATCAGCTCATTTTTTCTTTTGAGTCTTCCATGTTGTTGACACAGAAAGCCAGCTTCTCCTAAGGTGACAGTGTACCAGTTTCTAGCAGTAACCCAGATCTGATCGCTCCTTCCTTCTGCCATAACCTACATTCTCCCTTGGCTGGTAGCTGGAGAAGTGCAGGTCACTTTTCTGGCTTTACCTCTTTACAAAGGCTTGCTAATGCAGCAGCACAGGTGTACAGTTGGAGGTAGAGCTAAAGGTGCATTGAGGAGGGGGTTGGTCCTGGAACTTATCGTTATCAACATCTACTGTAAAGCGTAAGACAACGTTGTTGCAGTTACCTTAAAACAATGGCCACATTGTCTACATTGACTTCACACAACCAAGTGTATAGCAAGTTCCTTTGTAAGCTACTGGGCTTTGAAGCCAGGTCTCCAAAGGGTTTGTGCTCACTGCAATAACTCTGCCTGCCCCTCCCATCTGCCCTATTCTTTTTTCTTCCCTCAGTTCCCTAATGTCCTTTAAACACAAGCTGGGCAAAGGGCAGCAGAGTTTTGTGCACAACTCTCACAAGTTGTGAGAGCAATTTGTGTGCTGATTAGAAAGAAATGTCACCTAGAAGCCAGCCAACATCCTACTTTGAGACTTTAACCTTTCTGCCCAATTTGGCTAAAACTGACCACTGGGTTCCAAAGTTATAAATGGGAGATTGGCTGACTGGCAGAGAAGCAGAGCAAGGATCCGTATCGTACCGTGGAGACACAGGGGGCTTGCCAAAGTTGCAGAGTTCCAACTATAAATGAACAGCAATTTAGGGATCGCTTGAGGTTGGACTTCAGCCTGTGAACTTGCTGATCAGCGAGAAAAGAGGGGAAGGAAGAGAAATGCAGCAGAAGAAGGAAACGGTGACATTAGTGCTCTTTCCTCAAGTGATCTTGATGACTTGGGGACCAGACCTAAGACTGGTTTGGCACCAAAACTCGTGCACCCATTGCCAAGGAACTCTTGATCCATTTCTGTATGTGTACAGTGCCTACAGATGTCCACATTCAAAAACAGGTTCACTTTTTGGTAGAAGCTAGGTTTATAACTTAAACCTCCAAAGAAAAAGTGGGAAAATTCAACCCAATCGTTTCACATCATTATTAAAGCAGCCTCACACCTGCTGCATTGCCAGGGCCCACCAGAGAGCAGTGCCTTGCATGCCAGCAGACTCCCAGCTTCTCATGGAGGGTTTCTAACTGGGTGCCATACTTTCAGTCACAACCACACGTAAGCACACACAGCTGCCTCGCCAGCTCCCGCAGCTTTATGTTCATGTCCTGCAATATTGGTGCCTTCCTGAAATCCTGAAAGCCCCATTAAAGGAGCGTCCCGGCTGCCATTTTAAACCCACAGCCAAGCTCCTAACGCTCTGTGGATGCAGCCCAAGTATGCTTTCAGGGCCAAGAAGAAAGCAGAAAAAAAAAAAAGTCTTTTTTAAAACCTTTTAAACCTGATCTAAAGCCAATCCTACGCTACTCAAAAACTCACATCGTAATTTTTGAACACCTCCGAGTAGAAGCAATTACTGAGCTCGTGTTAGTGCGGTGACACAAATCCAAGTGCTCAGCTCCGGCTTCCTTTTTTTATTATTTCTTTTTTAAACATTCAGCTTTGGCGCTATGGAAGGATTTAGTCTCAGCAGCAGCAGTTCCAGCTCACGACAGAAGACAGCACTCAGCCGCTTCGCCCTTCCCCCCCCCAAGACACCCTCACCCACAAACACACGGTCAGGACATCTCCCTACGGCCAATGGGACTGCCCCGCAGCCGACCCCTTGTGCA